CACAACATCGCAGTTTTCCCCTCACTCATTCCCGTCGTAAAGCCGTCAGGAATATTTTCCATCACTTCTTGTGATTTTAGACTCACCGCTTTTAAAACTGACCGTTTTAATGGCTTTCCTGAACTTTTGACAGGTGTTGCTAGTGATTTCAATAAAATAGAACAAGATATACGGTGACAAACGCAGAGCAAAAGATGCCAATCACGTTAAAAATGTATCAAATTACGGATATGTAAAAATATAAATACTTTAAAAACATTTTTACTCGTAACAAGAACACAACAAGCAATTACTTTACAGTTATTTTAATTTTTAACACATTAAACTAAGCTTTTATGTTGTTGTTTGTTTATGTTTATAATGTTTATGTTTATAACAACGGAAAGTGTTTGTGGCACGGATGTAATCGTTTACTTTTCTGAAACGAATTACCAGAAAGCGTTTAAGTCTTGAAAGCCTCAGTGCCTCTAGGGTTAGCACTTGATTTGTATTCTACAGGTCCTAGATTCGAATCCCGCTGTCTACTAACACGGTGAAGCAAAATACAGTGATGCAATTTGCACAAATCTGTTCAAAGACATACGTGAAGTTAATCATGCCGCAATTGTGGTAAGCTCTGAGCGCCTCAATGGGGGAAGTATGTAGAAGATAATGGTGATGTTTTACTGTTTGCATACAGTAGAGTAACATAAGAAACGTTTTTATACATAGTGATGTGCATGGAGCTTTTATATCTATAAGAAGGGCCCCACTCATTGATCGGTGCGGCTCATTCACTTGCAAATGCCTCTACGAAAACTCGCTATAATTTATGTGCTATTGTGTCTCGTGCCTTGTGCCGGCTAGGACGCATTTGTAATGGTGAATGTAAGCCCTTCGATACACTGAGCTTAACATTCTTTCATTTTTTTAATGAAACGCAAACAAATCGAATCCCACAGGAATGGAATACTACACGTATAAGAGTGCATCTACTAAAATATGTCTCTGTTAAATAGTTTACGATTACTTACAAATTGAAGGGCATATTCATACATAAATATGTAGATATACAGAACAACAAATGTTATTGTTTGCGGATGTGGTGACGCCGACTGCTGCAGGCGTAGGCGGGGAACAAACCAAGCGGCCGCCTAGACATCATCGACACGGCCAAGCTGGCCACGTGCAGACTGAACACGTGGGGCGCTTGTGTTCATGTCGTATATCTTTATCACCCATCTATGTTATCAGTATTTGAATTGTTGCAGTATATTTAACTTGCTTTCTTTACGAACAGCAAGGTACTAAGCTTAGTTTACCAAAATAGGGTACTTTAAACTAAAAAATAAGCATTTAAATGCTTGCATGATAAATTTTCGTGACCACATTTAAAACACTTCTGCGCATTAAACATTCGTTTAAAAATCTTTTTAAAACTCTTCCCGCGCTTTCAGAGGAAATGTAAATGAATATAAATAACCCGTGCATATACGTTTAGAAATGAATAGAAAACCCGTTGCATTTTAAAAACGTATATTTCAGCTGAATATTCTTTTCATTTTAAACGCTGCCGAATTACCGCTCTTGAGATATTTTCGCAAACGAGAGTTTTTAACTGAACTTTTATGCTTTTAAAAGTAACTCGTTTATAAAGATCTTTTTAAGACCTGAGAAAAATTTAATAACCATAGTTAAATAAAAAATAATACTATTATTAAGTATTTTCTTAAGAAGATATTTCATAGCCTTTGTAGTGTAAAATTTTAACTACCGTTTACTAACTATGAGGTACATTCACTACTTTGTATTTATTGACGACATTTTACAGTTTGTGAAACAGATGTCGTATTTAGAAATAGGTTAATGTTGATCGTTACTATAACAAAACAACACAGACCATCCGCTAACGCCTACTTAAAACTTGTATTCACATATCACAGATTTTCAACGTATTCGTTTAATTTTCAACCAATCATAATTTTATCATAATAGCAAAAAACTGCAGTTAACACATTCTCAAGGCTGTAAAACAAAAACAACTTGTCACGGTCAATACTTAAATTCGATGCGGGACAAAAAAAAGTCGTAAATATTTATTATCAACGTCACTTTATCAAGCCCTTGTCCTTTATCACAAAGAGAGACACGGCTGATGTTGTTTTGAACAATTTTTTCTTCAAAATACGTACTTTTTCTACAATCCTCTGTTCATCTATACTATCTATACTACATTGTAATAAAGCGTAAACACACACTTCTTTGTTGCGTAAGATGTCAGCATATTTTTGAATAATGCTTTTTTTAATAAAAAGACCTACACTTACGTCACGCTTTAGGCTATATATTTTCACGTCTTTAAACTTAGGGGTAAATATTTTGGATAAAAACCCTAATGTGGGAAAGAGACCATAAGTTGTTGCCAACATCAAGGAAGCAAAATTGCCAACGTTTGTCACTTCATGTTATTTTGACATTCGCAATTGACAATTTGACACATGTAAACAATAAAATAATTTTTTGCTTATGCAATCGCACGGGAACTGCTAGTTAAGGATATATTCCTTACCTTAGTTAATTAAACAAAGTCGTCGGTTTATAATATTTAATTACTACAATTACTTGTTAAGTAACACTCCCTTGGAAATTAGCCTTGCCAAGGAATCTGGCAATGATTTTTATATTAAAGTTTATTTTATTAAATTCATATTTGCAGTGCCACAGGAAGTGGCTAAATATCTTTGTAACGAAAAATTTAATTTAATTAAGTTTTTAACTCTCACGGTTAGATTAATAACTTAACACAAGTGAGTCATTAATACACCGACTATCGAAGTTTACGATAAATACTTAAGTCACAATAAAGCGGATAGCAGATAATATGCAACTTTTAACCTCAGAGTAAAAACATTCACGAGCTATACTCCTTGAACTTTAAAGTATTTAGGTTATTACCTCATACATTCGCGGTCGATTAAAGTATATTTTTATGAAATGTGATAATCATTACGATGTACGGATGTGCGTTTGTTCCCACGGCGCTGACGACTGCGGGCGGCTGCGGGCGGCGGGCGGCTGGCGGTTGTTGGTGGCTGTTGGATTAGCTCCGGAGATGAGTTGCGACTCACGTGACCTCACCAGATCGTACTGGGTCAGTGAACTCGGAAGGCTAACACCTTTTTTTTCTAGTTTTGTATACAATCGTTATGTATGGGTCTAAGTAACCTTCAAAACGCGTGACACAGGCCTTTTACAACAAATGCTTCTGAGCAATATTTATAGAATGTAGACTTAAAATACGGGAAAACTAGAAAAAACCTACAAAATCCTCAACAAGTACGACATAATAACAATAAAGATTTCTCAATTTTCGTGTTTCCCAGAAACTTGTAACGCCATGTTTTGTAGTAAGTTCTTTATAATGCTAATGAGTAACTTTCGTACAATTATGAAGATAAATACTATTGTGTTTTTTTTCGCTCACAGGTGACCGGAAGAATCGATTACACGGCTGTCGCAGCAGGCCGTTCCGGGAACGAAAACAATGCAACCTCTCGATGGATACCTCCCGCCGCCCCCTGCCGCCCCATGCACCACCGCACCCCCCGCACCCCATGCACGCACCGACCTAATCATTCTCATGTTATTATTGTTGTAATAAAAACCAATACATCCGGCGTCATACATTTAAGGATCTAAATACCATTTTATTTCAATAAATATATATTTGTAGCTTGATTTTAAACATTTTCAGAGCAAATACCTTCTCTGTCGTTCTCGGATTATGACAATTTTTAATCAAAGCCTGATATCCAGTGATTTAATGATTTACAATCGGACAGGAGACAAAATATATACGACATACAGTTTTAATATTAACACAGCAGCTGTACTAAACGTTAATAGGCCAGTAATAACCCGCCTGCATCAGCCTACACCTTACGATTATTGCCTATACATCATAAATTGTTTACACTAAATGACTTAAAATGATTATAAATCATTGAAAGTCTAAGAAGATTTTAAGCTTCTTAGTTTGAGAAGTTGGTCAAAAATTATTATCTGCGGTCGTAGTTCTACATCAAGAATTGACACAAAGAACGATCCCTCGTTCATTGTACGTAAAATAATTGTTACACAACAATTAAATGACCCAACAAAATATTATAAAAGTAATAAACAAAAAAAAGTTTAATGATTATCACACGCATGAGATGTTTAATGTAAATTATCGTGAGATTTTAAAATCCGCGTGAAATGATATCGCGCTATTGTTCTTGTGTTCACTTTCACTGCGCAATGAAAATGTTAAACGATCGGATTAGACCCCGAGCGCCTTCCCGACACGACACGCTCGCCAGACGGTTCACGTATTACCATAACCTCGAAACTAACTCGAACGTAAAATAACGCATCATGTTTAAGTGCATCTTGTCGCCAGGCTCAATTTAACAATATTATAAACAATAACCTGAACTGAGGAAATACACGAATAGATTTTCTTCTAATTGATTGCATTTCCAACTGTTTACTATAGAACGAGTTTCAGGTCAACCTTGTACTTGAAAAAATCTAAGCGACAATCAAATTAAAAATTTTCCTTCTATAGTTTACATAAATAAAATCTTAAAAAGTAACATTTTTGTCACACGGATTAAGATAAGAATAACAAAAGAACGTCGCATCGTTATAAAATCCAGTTAAAATGTAAAAAATTACCTGGATATTATTCTGAGAATTTCATTCTATTTAAAATTAATTTCTCACTAACATTGATTATCTTATCATTGCTTCCTTCTTGATATTAAAGGTAACGGAATTTTAAAATGTATTTATAGACTAAATTGCATAAGGACACAAAATCTCGTTAATTATTTGGTTATACTTTTTTTTATTTTACAAGTAAAAAAAATATTGTTGCGGTACAATAATTTTCCCGCGCATATCGCAACAAACGTGAACGTTACAAAAACTAACAGTTAACTAGTATGTTAATTATTTAACTACCATCAATTACTTACCGAAGAAGGAGTGTAAAGTCCGCAAATAACTGCGGTTCCGCGCCGCTGCGATCCTCACAAAAACTCTCACTCACTAATTAATTAAAAGTGCGGTAAATATCGCGCGTGCGTTGCCGCAGGTGAGGCGCGTGCTCGCTGCCTCAGCGCCGGGAACCGAGTGACCATCCACCACCAGCACCAGCAGCCGCAGTGCCACTCTTAGTTTGTAAACAGAACTGACGTGCTCCTTCAAAGAAAAAAAAACAATAATAGGAACATATAGCTATCGTTCTTGTCTTTTATATATTCTAGTTTCTAGAATATCCAAGTATACTGTGCGAGATTCAATTTGAATAGATAGATGGCTACAAGCTTTGTCTACATACACAGTCCGAAGACTGTTTCACAGTAATTATTTTTCATTAGCTATCTCTAATTATATTTATTAGTTATAATTTAAAACGTTGACATAAACTTAATGTTTCAATTTACAATAAACAAGTATTTAATTAATAGAAAAACTGATATAAATTAGTGAAACTCTATTTTTCACTTGGGATTATTTACGTCAAAAATAATTGACTGATTTTTAACTGTAAAAATTCCCTTGCATTTTTCATGCCCGAGGGCATTCCGTCTCTGTCGTTCAGTTGGCAGAACTTTATCCAGTCGCAGTTGCGAAGCCCGCCGGCGCTGGCTTATAGACTCCGAGCAACAACCGACAAAGTTATTAAGCCTGTTTAGTATATGAAGTAGTCGCAATAACAAAAACTTTCATCAGGCTGTTTTCTTTCTGTCAATCTATACTATTACGAGTATAACAAAGCGTAAACACACACTTCTTTGTTGCCTAAGATGTCACCAAGTACAGAATATTTTTGAATTTTTCTTCTTTTAATAAAGAGCCCCACACTTTCGTCACGCTTTGGGCTATATATTTTAACGCCATTAAACTTAGGGGGTAAATATTTTGGATAAAAACCCTAATGTGGGAAAGAGACCATAAGTTGCTGCCAACATTAAGGAAACAAGATTGCCAAGGTTTGTCACGTCATATCAGTTTGACATTTGCTATTGATAATTTGACAAATATAAACAATAAAATAAGATTTTCATAATTTCATGCGGATGAAGTCGCACAGGAACAGCTAGTTTTTATTAAAAACACCTAAAAAGTGGTACCATCATGTTTTCTTTACCATCGTTATCAATATGAGTAGTGTTACTAATATAACCCAATAAAAACGAGTGTCTACTCCTTATTTCCGATTTTTTAATTCGTTTTATAGCCACTTTTATTAAGTTCTGCAGTTCAAAACCATGGACATGCAATTAAACGTATTCCAACACTACAAGTATGCAAGTGACGGCAACACACAAGTTATTTCACCCACGGTTCAGGTTTACTGTTATTGCCAAATACTTTAATTTTATTATAGTTTTAGAAGAGTATTGACTATAACGTCTGTTTATTAATAAAAACTAGCTTCCCCCTGTGACTCCATCAACGTGGCATTAAAACCTAATAAATTACCCTTCTGAAAGTCAATCAAAAGGTACACCATAGACCATAGACAAGAGGTGTGGCGAGTGCGACAAGGTGGCGCCCGCTCGCGCCGGACACGCCCGCGGCAACTTGCAGCACGTATTATACTATGCTTCATGAGGCCTCCCTTTATGTAAAGGCTTTTAACTTAATTACATACATTAAAAGCCTGCGAGTGATATTACAGGTCATTTTTATCACTTCTGCCTTATTCAAGTCTTTTGCGAACAATAATACTATCGTACTTTAAACTTTTTTAAAGAGATTATCAGGAGTTTAAACTATTTTAAGTAATTGCTTAACCTCATCTATAGAATTCATAAATACAAGAGATATAAACTAAATTTAGTTAAAGTTACAGGAAATGTTTTGAATATGTCGAATAAAATTTTCACCTATATAGCGGGAATAAGTTTGCCTCTCATTCATTCATCTCCAGAGAAATCCCTCTACATACCGCTGCTGCATTGCAGAGGCACTGGAGTCCACATGTCTACGGATTAAACTAGGACATTTATTTAATACAGGCAATACATATTTCAGATTATTGTGGTTGTCTTTTGATATATTAATAAAATTTTCGATCTCTTAAAATTATGCAAACTTACTAACTGTATACATCGATGAAAAAATAAATGATAACTGAGTAGTTAATGCATTCATCAATCTTCTCACAAATCTAAGTATCAGTGCCGATAATCTAGTCATTTTATATTGTAAAATACTGAAGAATCTTCGGCGTGCCTAAGTGTGGTCACCCTACTCGAGTGCTCCGGTTTACTTCCCGCGCCGCACAAAGTAAGCATTTCTACTAAACAGGAGCGATGCTCAACTAAACCTTTAAGACTTGTTCACAACTAAACTAATATCCAAAGTTGCGTTATATCGTTTATTTGGTTTACGATAGAGCTACGACTGAAAGTGTATGGAAGAGCAGCCGCGTTGTGGAACGGTCTGTCCTCGGCGTTATTACCAAACCAATACGACTTAGGGTCCTTCAAGAAGCGAGCCTATCATTTCCACAAAGGCCGGCAACGCATCTGTAGTTCCTCTGGTGTTGTGGATGTCCAAGGGCGTCGTCAACCACCTAGGTGTCCGCCTAGTTTGCCCCCTTTTATTATAAAAAAAACATACTGTGCCGTCTCTCCGTAGGGACAAGCACAAGTTAATGATAGTGCTACGATTAAAAGTTTATCCCAGACCCAGGTAATAGGTCGCACTGAAGATAACTATCCGTTGTGTACTCGGTATATAGTTTACATTGTACATAAGCTATGTAACATAGTAAAGGTATATATTTACTACATATTTTGCAATATTCTTTATTAAACTTGTGAGGCCCATTCCTTACACTCAACCTTCTTCGAGATAATGACACCTCAGGGTATAAGTGTTCTTTTATCATCAATCTTGCAGACGAGGCCGCGATGGCCGCCGCATAAAGGATGTCCCGGATTCATTCGGCGGCTCCCAGGGGCGAAGTCGGGGTCACAAAACATGAAAGAACATTCTAGTTCTAGAGCTCTTCGTTTTCAGATCGTATCAAACCGGCGCTAAAAGCTCGACACCTTTTTACAGAAAACTTAAACGTAATACTGGTCCACTTAAAGTTATAGAAAGGAACATACAATTGTGTCGCATTAAAAACCTTGTTTTAAGTGATTGCTTATGACACCCACAGTTGATATCTAACGATGCTCGTAGAGCGGAGGATCGAGAAATGACTCGTAGCGTGTGATTACCTGATGATTGATTAGTTAGTGGCGTCAGTCGAGGCCGAGTGAGCCCAGATATATCGACATCTAACGACGCAGTTTACTTATTGCATGTCATTTTGTGTCATAATTCCCGCCATCCTGCACAACGTGGGCTTTCATTACCATACTAATATGTGCACATAACGTACAACTAAATTATCATAATCTATCGACTCACTTCCTATACAAGTAAATTAATAGATATAACCAGTGAAGAAATGATTTATGCTCTTTTAAAATAATATTGAGTACTATTAAAAATCTTAGTTATTTTTTTCAGGTAGTGAATGTTTTAAATAGCATGAAAGCATTATTTGTTGTAAATTATTTTTTTTATTTAAATAACTTGTATTATTTCAAAAGGCATGGTGCGCCTACTAAATATCTGCGAGCAAATTTATATAATTGTGTAATGCCATCCATAGAAAACCTTGCGCGCATCAACAATATATGTACTCGCTTATGCGTTTGATTTATTACTTAAATGTTATAATGTATTTTATTATTTATTTATTGACTCAAAGTTGGCTCAAAGCTTCATCACCGCAAAAAGATGTATTTACAATTTCCGCTCGAAAAATATTTTGGTTTTATAAATTACTAAACGAAAAATAGTGTCAAAAAGATGTTTCCTGACACTGACATCCGACAACAGCTGTTCGATTCTGAAATTGTCAGAAAACACCGCGTAAAGTATGGAATAGTACTGTAATATTCAAGAAAAACAATTAAACTTAACATAATAACATACAACTTTTGTAAGCAAAATGTTTGGTAAAGCGTATAAATTAAAATCAAATAATACTTTAAAGAATTCGGAAAAGTATGTAATTTTATTTTGTGTCTTGAGTGAAAATCAACTTTGTTTTTGTATTTCAATATTTTCTGTACACTTTTTCCAGGAAACATTTGGCACAGCGTATTTTAAATGAATTCCCAGCTGCTACTGATGAGAAGGTGAAAGAATTAGTACCTGTGAAGTCAAACACAAGTTGTATGAAATTGATTCTACACTCCGGCGAGACAGTGGGTGTGTATGTGGTGGACAACGTGCCGATAGTGATAGAGGCCGGCGAGGTGCTCGTGCCCACCGTCTGCGCCCTGTGGAAAGTGCCGGACCTCCTACCCACACTCATTATACATTCACTAGTCCTTCCCAAGGTATTCACCTCTTACTCTACAATTTTTATTTATAAAAACTCTTGTTTCATAAACTATGTGAACTTGTGTAAACAGTATTTTTATGTATATATTTTTTGTAAATGATATATATCCAATTTTTAAAGTTAGTTCCTTACATTTTTTTACAAATGTTGCCCGAGAAATGTCTTAGTTATATTGTTTAAAAAGAAAATAGTGTGTATATCCATATTGAAAGTTTTTGTACTGTTGGAGTAATAGATTCGTATTAATCCTATAAGAAAAATGTATGATACATTTAAAAAACCTTTAATGCGGAATAAATAATTCTATTGCTGTTTTAGTCAGATTTTTATGGAAAATTTCAGAGAGATCCATTTAGTTGTAGTTGATGTGGTAATATCTAAACTGTCACAGGCCAATAATAAGTAACTAAAATAGTGTGTGTATTGCATGTCAGCTAGCGGGCGGGGCGCCGCTGTACGCGCCGGGCGTAGCGATGGCGGGCGCGGAGTCGTTCCCCCGCTTCGCGCGCGGCGCGCTGCTGGCCGCCGCCACCGCAGACAACGCCGCTGCGGGCGCCGTCGGCCGAGCCACGCTCTCCTCCGCAAACCTCCTTAGAACCACAATGTCAGTTGCACTGTATTCCCAGAGAAAAAATCACTATACATTCTCACTGGGGTCGATGTTTTCCTTAACCATAGTAACTTTGCGTAAATTATGTACATATATGGTATGATAAATCGAAAATCTTATTAGTATGGTGTGAGTCAACCCAGAACCTGTAGATTACAAGTCAAGTGCATAACTGCTGAGCCCCCGACGTTTAGACAAAAACTTGTATGACTTGATAATCTTCAATAATGACAGCTTATTATTGACTCCTAGATAATCTAAATCCTCATTTTTAATTTGAAGACTGCTGCTGCTGACCAAATAAAACATTTCTAAGAAAATCTATTTTATTTTTTTTGTTTGTAGGGGTGTATGCATGGAGACGCTACACGTGTTTGGAGACCTGCTCTGCAAGGAGGCCAAGTTCACAAAGTTGGAGCGGCCCAAGCTGCAGCCCCCCGCCTACAGCCCCTCTGTGGACAGTGTCGCTGCACACATCACACTGGTTAGAAAAAATTTTAATCAACGAGGAGAAGGATTTGTATTTTTGCATGTATTGAAGTAGCTCAAAAACTACTGGACCAACTTTAAAAATTCTAACACTATTACAAAGCAATGTTACCAGTAACATAGGCTATGTTTTTACTATTTTTTTAATTTCACGCGGGCGATGTTGCGAGTAACAGCTAGTATCGTAAATTTGTACAATTTATAAAATGTAATAATATTTTTATTCAGTTAAGTATCCAGCAACCGATCAGAGAAGAATGGCCCAGTTTGGTCAAAGAAACATCTCCCGCTGAGAAATCGACTCATTTTCCAGTTTTAAATGAACCAAAAACAATTTGTGAAGACGAGACATTTGACAATGAGGAATTAGAGTTCGATGAAACTGTTCTGACAGGTAATTGCAGATTGTACTCACAGAAATTTATGTAAAAGTAAAAGTTAAGAATGCATATTTTATATGTTGAATTATTATCAGATAACTTACAATTTAGTGGAACAGGCCCTAAAACTTGCATTTTACTTGTTGAAAATATAGTAATAAGTATAACACGGTATTTCCAAATGAGTTTTCTTGTAATCATTATTATTAAACTATTTGCAATTCACCGTAGAACATTTAAAGTTTTCGATGTAGGACATTATATGAAGGGTGTAATTTCCAGATAGTTCACAAATAGAGGATGACCCGGTGCCTACGGACATGGACGAGCTGCTGCAGTGGTGTCTGCTCAGCTTCATCAAGCGGGAGGGCAAGAACCTGCAGCTGCCGCTCAAGACCAACCTGCTCTACAAGTAAATATTGTACATCCCGATACACACATTGTATCTCTACAAACATTGGAGACCATGGAACAAGTTTTTTAAATACGTTTTGAAAGTGTCTTACCCCTGGTATGATGTAATCGTGTGTGAAGCATGTGGCATGTTTCAGGAACCACCTGATGCCGCTGTGTCCCGCACACCGCAGCCTGGATGTCAAGAAGTCCAGCTACAAGAAGATGAGCAAGTTCCTCGACGCCATGCAGCAGGTACCGTTTACCTTCGCACCGCATTCTGAACATCTAACTTGTATCCAAAATGTGAATTAAATAGAGTTGTAGAGTGCGTCAGTGTGACATGGCGCTGCGTGTTCAAGGAAGGTTTGGTGGAGGTGCGCGAGCTGGAGAAGGGC